CGGCAGGACATTCATCACAGTGCGGCATCATACAGTTCTGATAGCGTCCTTGGGCACAATAGGGACAACGTATATCTGGGTGATAGGGATGTGTACAATGAGGAAATGTTGGACACCCTACAGGACAGACGGCGGCAGTCGCAATAGATTGATAATGGCTATGGCATAGATGATGCATTCCACAGCCAAGGCGCACCGCATCTCTGTCCCGACAGGCGTCACACGAGAGTCGGTCAATAATCCAGAATAAAGTATGAATATATATATATATATATATCATCACAAACAGAACTGCCCGGTAAAACCGTAGGCAGAGAGAGAGAAGAGGACAACAAACGAGGGGCTGTATATAGAACTGCCCGGTAAACCGTAGGCAGAGAGAGAGAAGAGGACAACAAACGAGGGGCTGTGACAAACTGTTTCGTCGGAGTTTCACTGACTCATCAGGAGGCTGAACCCTCAACAGTCTGCAGAATCCCCTCACTGACTACACTGTAAATGATAATCTACCTTAACCAAAATCAAAGTAGATATACCCTCGTTTGTTGTCCTCTTCTCTCTCTCTGCCTACGGTTTACCGGGCAGTTCTATTTGTGACGATATATATATATATATCGTCAAACATATATATTCCTGATGAGTCGGTGAAAGTCCGACGTAACAGTCTGTCACAGCCCCTTGTTTGTTGTCCTCTTCTCCCTCTCTGCCCACGGTGTACCGGGCAGTCCTATTTGACGATTTATACATACACCGTATAATTAATCATTATGAGATTTTTAGAGGGGTATTGCACTCTACCCACATCTTTCAGGTTTTATTCTTTTAGCATACACGTGAACCTCCAGGGGTATTTCGCGAATTTTCCCTTTATAATAAGTAAATTCTCTTTTTCAAAAAGGAAAACAAGTGTTCTTGTAAAATGAAAAAAAGTCCTTCGGGACATCCGTTAAACTTGGAACGATACAGAGAAAGAGAAGATTAGCATGGCCCCTGCGCAAGGATTAAAGAAAAAGAGGGGAAAAAAAAAAAAAAAAATTGTTCGTGTAAAACGAAAGAACAAGGTGTTCTTTCTCCAAAAAGAAAAAAAAAAAAGAAAAAGGTGTTCTTTTTTTTCTTTCTTTTTTTTTCACGAAGAATTTCACTTTCTTATCATTGTCGGAAAACGGGTCCGACGTCCCTAACATATAAGCCGCAGCCACACAGGGCTGGAAAAGGCACTCCCGGGGCCAAGTCCCACTTACGCTGATTCTTCATTTCTGGCTGTTGATCTTCGGAATTTACGGTCAGAAGCTGAGAATTGCGGTAAGTGGGACTTGGCCCCCGACCGATCCCATCCCCAACCGCAACGAGCAAAAAAGGTGTTCTTGAGGAACGGCGTTTTCCGAATAAACCAACAAAACAAAATCAAAACAAACAAACTTTAAAAAACGCGTTAGCGACGACGTGGAATACGAGCCATGCAAGAAAAAAAAAAAAAACCCGCCTTTGCGACGACGTGGAATACGAGGCATGCAAGAAAAAAAATAAAAAAACGCCTTTGCGACGACGTGGAATACGAGCAATGCAAGAGAGAAAAGAAAAAAAACGCCTTTGCGACTACGTGGAATACGAGCCATGCAAGAAAAGAACACGCGTTTGCGACGACGTGGAGTAAGAGCCATGCAAGAAGAGTCTGGCATGTCAGGGCCAGGCCCCCCGGCCCAAGTCCCACTACCCGTAGCGGGGGTTAGGGCATCGCCAAACCACTCACCGAACGTGGAAACGACAAGGCGATGGTGGGTGTATCTTTCCATCGTTTTGCAGAAGATACATGCTCCGTTTTTTACAATCGGGGAGTGTTAAGGCGATGCCCTGATTAGACTCAGTTTCGAGTGAGCGTGGGATCCTGCCATCCGATCTGAACACCCCCCCCCCCCTTCGTGATCAACGTTTCCTCTCTTCCTCCTGTTTCTTCCATTCTTCTAATTTTACCGCTTCTTCTAAATTTACCGCTTCTTCTAATTACCGCTTCTTCTAGTTCCCGCTTCCTCTAATTACGGCCTCGGACTCAACCGAAAAAGAGGTGGGAGAAAAAAACTCGTCCTCTGTAGAGAGGTCGAGTCTTAGGGTGGGACCCCACAAGCTGGCGGTTCTCGCCCCGAGCCTCCGCGAAGCAGTTCAGCCGACCCCACAGGTCGGAGAAAGTGGCCGGGAAGAGTACGCCAGGGCGTTTCCACTCGGTCCGCCGCCTTGTCTGGCCTACGTGGACCGTGCCTCCTCGGGGAAAAACTGCCCACCGGGAAGGCTAGCCCTTGGGGACCTCTTCCGTCGCCAGCGGAGTCCAGGAGAGCAATGAACCAGTGAGTCCAGGAGAGCAATGAACCAGTGAGTCCAGGAGAGCAATGAACCAGTGGACAACGGTGTGGCCCACCCGGGAGCACGAGGTTGGAAGTCTGTGGGGAGGTCGTGTAGCACGGAAGGGCGTTTTTGTCCGTTGGCCTTCGGCCAGCAGGAAGGACGCATCCTTTTTTGAATTCAAATTCGAAAAGGTTGCGGGGGGGCGGCGCGCTGTGGTCGGACAGCGGGCGGGCATAAAGGTGTTCGGGGACACGGGTCCGTGGGTGTTTGGATGGAGCCGTGTGTGGCACCTCTGGATGTGTGCCCCAGGTGTGTCGTGCATATGGTCACGCTCCTCCGAGGCTCGTACAGCATGGCCCCGGCGAGTCTACGTCCCTGCAGAGAGCATACCCATGCAGACGGTGCAATTTTTGTTGCCGACGGTTCTTTGCCCACATCCTTGTCTTTTGTGGTTGCCATGCACGTGTGCATGCGATCCATGCGTCGCTCGGTTACGCGGCTATGGAGTCGGGTGAACTCAAGCCCCACCTTTTTTGCTGATTGCCGGCGGACGTTGTGTGAGGGATGACGACGAGCTTCATGGGGTGCATGCAATCACCATCCGGTTGCTTGCGCCAGGATCGCAATCCCTGATAGAGTGGCGAAGGCTGCGAGCGACGTGAGGCAGGTTGTTGGCAGTCAGTTTCTCCCTTCCGTGCTTGTGCGGCCATCTCCATCAGCTTCATGTGGACAAACGAACACTGTTGTCGTCGGCCCGGGTGGTCGACTCCTCTGCATCCTTCCTCATGTGCGGTTTGGCGAAGGAGGGGTGAGCGCGCGAACCTGTCATTCTCCTTCCACATGTGTGGTTTTGTTCAGTCCGACGGTAGTGCGGAGACGCGAGTGGGACGGACGGCAGGCGGGCTGTCCATCTTTTGTGCACAGACATGCTCCGCACCATCCTCTTCTGGTGTCCACATGCCTAAAGCCCACGTCCGTTAGTGGTGGTCGACTATCATTGTGGCCATCGTCTTCTTCTTCATAGGTGCAATCATTGCCATCGTGGTGACGATGTTCATCTTCCTTGTCCTCCTACTGGCCGGCCTCCGCGTTTTATTGCGTCGGAAGTGTATCTGAAGGCGATGCGGGCAGGCGTTTACGTCGCAGGAATGGATGGCAGTGGATGGGCGTCGGGCATACCCGGTTCCGGAGGGCCACGCAGCCGGTTTCCGGGGTATATGCATGACAAGAACCTCGGTTTCGAAGCCCAGCTCTCCATGGGGCTGTCGTCTATGACATCGGACCCGAAGATCTGGTCTCGGCATGCCACTCAATCATCCGCGCACATGCGTCTCCCGGTTACCTTCGCATCTGGCATGGATGCACCGCCCAGACTAGTTTCGGACCTCGGTACGCGCATTCGTCCTCCACCCTCGGCAGCGGTGGGTGGAACTGCACATGGCCCCGTTGACAGTACGCGGATTCCGGTGGCTCCAAGTCCGCAACCTTTCCAAGGCACCTCCTTTATTCCTCCTCTAGCTCCTGTCTGTATGCAGCCCCCTTCGGTCGATCACTTATGCACCGTCGCTGTGGACAGGGCGTGGGCATCGGTGCGTCCCTAGCAGCAAGGGATCGTGATGCGGCAGGGCGTCGGTGTGGACAGGGCTGTGGACAGACCGTCGCTGAAGATGTGCAGAGGATGCGGCAGGGCGTCGGTGCGTCCCTAGCAGCAAGGGATCGTGATGGAGACATGGCCGATCGATGCAGTCCCGCTTGCTGGACGTTGTGAGACCGGGGCGCGATCCATCACCCACCGTGTCACGAGGGGAAGAAGAGTCACATCCGACAGTGGCGGATGCACGTGGACGAGAGGCCGGACGGCCAGAGGGAGGGGCAGTGTTAGGGGACGGGTGCCTGAAAGTGGCAGTGAAGTGGATACAGGTGATGACGCCGCGCAGCCCAAGGGAGGCGATGTGTCGGGGAGGAGGAGAACCAGGCCATGGCTGCTGGAGGAGCGCATTGATCTGGCGAGGTTCATGAAGGAGGACAACGCCATGATGCAAATGGCCTCAGGTCGGCTGAAGCACACGAGAAGGTCAGTGAGGAATGAGTGGGTGTCCAAGAAGATGAAGGCGGCAGGTTGGATCAGGTCGGCGGAAGACTGCAGGAAGAAGTGGTGCTACCTCATGAGCAAGATGAAGGACATCCTGCACACGTGTAACACGTCGGGGGAAGCCCTCATATTGGGAGATGAGCATCGAAGACAGGAAAAGGGAGGGAATCCCGACGACGTTTGAGCAGCCGTCGTGGGAGGAGATGGAGTGGGCACATCGAAAGCCGCCAGTCGCTTGCGACAATACCATGGCATCATCAAACTTGCAGGGTGCTGAAAGCGGTGTTTCCTATAAGGAAACACCCGGTGGGCATGACTCGTCAGAAGGCGGGAGCCGTAGTGGTGCAAGTGCTGAAGAATCGGAGGGCTTGCGGAAGAAACGACGTGGGGCAATGGGCAAGGAGCGTGCTAGTGATCACCTGCCAGTGTCGTCTATGGAGAGAGTTGTGCTCGATTCTAGTATGGTGGTTCAAGAACGGATGGACATGGTGGGAGGCGCTCTTGCCCGGGCAAGCACAGAGGGTGCGAAGCTGGTTGCAACCCAAGTTGGCGCAGTTGCAAGCGCCATTACGGAGGGAAACGATGTACTGCAACTGTTGGTTGGCGTCATGGCCGAACACCGAGGAGCGGGGACCGGAATGCGGGGTGGAGACCCCGTCGACACCAGTCTGTCAAACCGGTGATACGTGCATGGGGGACCACAACGTCACACACACTGTCACAAAGAACTTTGGAAAAGGAACACTTCAAATGATATAACAAAGGGGGGGGGGGGGAAACAAAAAAAACAAAAAGAAAGATTGAAAACGAACGAGGATGCACCATGAAATGGACCCAGGGGGTTCGTTTCATGGTGCATCCGTCGCCTTGTTTCCTTGTTCGTTTTCAAACTTTTTTTTTTTTTTTTTTTCCTTTGTTATATCGATATATGTATGTCAAACTTTCCTTTTGTTTTCAACCCCGTATTGTCGTTCCACATGTGCGTGACTGCTGGGACGGGTCACCTACTGTCTTCTCCTCTCCCGGACAACTTTTGGCGATGTGTTAGACATCGACCTCACAAAACAGACACGGTTTTCTTCCCCGCTGCGAATGTCTTTTCAGACCCTCTTCGGGTTGTGGAGGATCTGTCGTTCGGTGTCCACTGTTTCGTCTCCTTCCCCGAGAGAGAGAGAGAGAGAGAGAGAGAGAGAGAGAGAGAGAGAGAGAGAGAGAGAGAGAGAGAGAGAGAGA